GAACCAATGAGGTTCAATCTCGTGTTACGCAGCACGTTTGAGCTTCAGCAAGAACCAATGAGGTTCATTCATGTGTTACGCAGCACGTTTGAGCTTCAGCAAGAACCAATGAGGTTCATCCTCGTGTTACGCAGCACGAGCTTCAGCAAGAACCAATGAGGTTCATTCTCGTGTTACGCAGCACGAGCTTCAGCAAGAACCAATGAGGTTCATTCTCGTGTTACGCAGCACGAGCTTCAGCAAGAACCAATGAGGTTCATTCTCGTGTTACGCAGCACGTTTGAGCTTCAGCAAGAACCAATGAGGTTAATTCTCGTGTTACGCAGCACGTTTGAGCTTCAGCAAGAACCAATGAGGTTCATTCTCGTGTTACGCAGCACGTTTGAGCTTCAGTAAGAACCAATGAGGTTCAATCTCGTGTTACGCAGCACGTTTGAGCTTCAGCAAGAACCAATGAGGTTCATTCTCGTGTTACGCAGCACGTTTGAGCTTCAGCAAGAACCAATGAGGTTAATTCTCGTGTTACGCAGCACGTTTGAGCTTCAGCAAGAACCAATGAGGTTCATTCTCATGTTACGCAGCACGTTTGAGCTTCAGCAAGAACCAATGAGGTTCATCCTCGTGTTACGCAGCACGTTTGAGCTTCAGCAAGAACCAATGAGGTTCATCCTCGTGTTACGCAGCACGTTTGAGCTTCAGCAAGAACCAATGAGGTTCATCCTCGTGTTACGCAGCACGTTTGAGCTTCAGCAAGAACCAATGAGGTTCATTCTCGTGTTACGCAGCACGTTTGAGCTTCAGCAAGAACCAATGAGGTTCATTCTCGTGTTACGCAGCACGTTTGAGCTTCAGCAAGAACCAATGAGGTTCATTCTCGTGTTACGCAGCACGTTTGAGCTTCAGCAAGAGGTTTTGTTCTCACACGTCAAGCAGGTTCGGTTGAGCTTCTGTTTATGTTCGCTGATCAATGTTTAAATGTGAATAAAAGCCTAAATTGAATCTGTTCATCATGTGAAGTGATCTTGTCTCTTTAGAAAATTTTAACTAAACCCGCTCAATTCATATCAATTAGTTTTACGATCTCTCTATGAACTTTTTGAAGCATTAAAGTGGTAGTTGTGTAGCTGTCAATGGAGGGACAGAAATCTCTTAGATTTCATTAAAAGATCTTCATTTGTGTTCCAAAGATGAACGAAAGTCTTATGAGTTTGGAATGACATGAGAGAGAGGAATTAATGACAGAATTTCCATTTTTTAGGTGAACTATCCCTTTAATTTATCCAGATAACAAAGAAGTGTTCCAAGAATGTTTGGCTAACGTTCCCGTTAAGTTATGTAAACATCATTTCTGAATGTTCTCTGAATGTTCAAAACAACAGATGCAGTAGAGGCACTTACTCCCCTTTATTATCTGTAAAGGGAAAAAACTCCTCTTACAATTAAACGTTTCTGTGTTGCTTTAGGCATGAACGATTTCAGCTACCTGCACACCAACTGCTTTGAGATTTCCATCTTTCTTGGGTGCGATAAGTTTCCACATGAAAGCGAATTGGCGTCAGAGTGGGAAAACAACCGAGAGGCTCTGCTGGCTTTCATTGAACAGGTTACAAAACACATACAGTTCAGATCTCTGTGTGACATAGTGGCTGCACATTGTATAACAGCAACAAAGTCTCAAAAAACGTATAATTTATGTGACCCGCAGGTGCATCGAGGCATTAAAGGAGTTGTGCGAGATGTCGGTGGGAATCTTCTAGCAAATGCAACAGTGTCAGTGGAGGGAATCAAACATGACGTCAAAACAGGTAACAGACATTCTGTCATTCTGTCCTAATAGATCTAAAAAGAGTACATTAAAAATCGAAATCATGACATAAGAAGTCATAATTGTGACATAAAAAGTTTAATTTATGACTTTCTATGTCATAACGGACTTTATGTTAATTTTTTTAAACATTAATGTCATATTTAAATCTGAATTTCTAATTTTTGTCATAATTTCAAAATTTTAATGTCATAATTCTGACTTTTTAAAGGGATACTCCACTTTTTTTGGAAATAGGCTCATTTTACAACTCCCCCAGAGTTAAACTGTTGAGTTTTACCGTTTTTGAATCCATTCAGCCGATCTCCGGTTCTGGCGGTACCACTTTTAGCATAGCTTAGCATACATCATTGAAGTGGACAAGACCATTAGCATTTCTAAAAAAAAAAATGACCAAAGAGTTTCGATATTTTTCCTATTTAAAACTTGACTCTTCTGTAGTTACATCGTGGACTAAGACCGACGGAAAATGTAAAGTTGCGATTTTCTAGGCTGATATGGCTAGGAACTATACTCTCATTCCTGTGTAATAATCAAGAAACTTTACTGCCGTACCATTAACTCTGGGGGAGTTGTAAAATGATCCTATTTCCAAAAAAAGTGGAGTATCCCTTTAAGTCAGAATGCCAACTTCGTATGTCGTAATTTCGACTTTTTGGCCTGGTTTCACAGACAGCGCTTAGATTGAGCCAGGATTAGGCCTTAGTGAAATTAGGACATTTAACTAGCTTTTATAAACGTGCCTTAAAAAAACATTACTGGTGTGCATCTTGAGACAAAAAAAATGGCACTGACATATTAAGATAAATCAATGAAAGTTGCTTTCAGTTAAAACAGCTCAAACATGCATTTTAGTCTCGGACTAGACTTGAGCCTCGTCTGTGAAACCGGGGGTAAATTACATAATTAATTATGCTATAATTTTGACTTTTTATGTCATAATTATGATTAGTAAAATCATGTTTGTTTTTTCTTTTGTGGAAATGAGCTTCCATATATACATACATGTGACCATTAATCAACATCAGAGAATTGTGAACATGTTGTTCAGTTGTTCAGATTAAATAAATATTAATACAGAGTAAATATTTTAGGTCAAAGGGTTTTGGCTGGCAAAAAAAAGTTTGGGAATCCCTGCTTAGAACATATCTTTGTAGTATATTATATGTTATATTAATCCAGACTTTTATTTCTCAAAGCTGCCACTGGCGATTACTGGCGTCTTCTCAACCCAGGCGAGTATCGCGTTACTGCAAGAGCGGATGGTTATTCTTCTCAGACTCGTCTTTGCATTGTGGGCTATGATGCCAATGCTACACCCTGCAGCTTCACTCTGACCAAATCCAACTGGGCTCGTATCCGACAAATCATGGCCCAGAGTGGGAATAGGCCAAGACTGGTTACCAACACCCCCGGAAACACAAACAACCGCGTCAGCGTCGAGAGCACAGGGGCCGCCGTGCCCCCCCAGAATGACCGTCTGCGTCGCCTACGACTGATGCGCATGCGTAAGCTGAGAATGGAGAGGATGAAAGGCATCACGACAACCATAACACCAACCACAACGACAACCACACCTCCACCCACCACTACAGCAATGTCAACAACAGATGCCTCTTGGGATGACTTGTGGTTTGAACTGGACACTGCACCCACTCAAGACTATAACTTTGAGTATAGAATAGATGAAGATTAGAGAAGGATTGTATGAAAATGTGTGGAATATTGCCCTCTTTAAGCATTCAGGCTCATAAACTACAAATCACTCTCTCTGTGGAACAGAGTATAAAAAACAGAAATATCATTATTATTTAATTCAAGGAGTCTTATGTGAATAGTCAGAAGAATGAGGTATTACCAGTGTTGGGCAAAGTTACTTTTAAAAGTAATGCATTGGAATATTGTGTTATTCCCTAAATAAGTGACTAATTGTGTTACTTTGTTACTTTTTACGGAAAGTAATGCGTTACATTACTTTTGTGTTACTTTTTCTCACCTGGGCTGGCCTTGCTTGTTTGTTTAAAAAAAAAAAAACACTCTTCAGCAATAAAAATAAAATAAAACACAAATATGTTGTCATTTTTGCTTATTCATATGGTTGAATTGGATTATCAAAAGTCAGCAGCAAAGATATTGGTTAATAAAGTGAGATTAAATACATAAAGTATATTTGTGTTATTTAACATATTTAATTATAGCAGGTTTGTGTAATATTCTGAGTTTGCATTTCACACTTTTATTTTCATTTTGAGGAATAGTGAATCTATTTTTGTGCAAGTGAGATGAGTAAATGTACACTTTTAAATTCAGATATTTTGTTGTAAATTTAAAAGTAATGTATTACTTTACTAGTTACTTGAAAAAAGTATCTGGTTATGTAACTTGCGTTACTATAATGCATTATACTCCCAACACTGGCTATTAAAAGAAGGCAAAATGAGCTATTTCTGAGCTGTTCTCAATGTACTTGTGTACACGAATATTATAATGTCCACATTTTTTTCTAATAAAATGTCTCAATATAATTTTATGTTGTAGTTTTCATGTTATGTATAATGTAAGTCAAAATTAAATTTTATTTACATTATATGTAGTTTCAAATGAACTATGACCATCATGCATGCACTTAATGAAGACATTACATTGAAGTTAATTCTGTACTGTTTAAATAATAAGTGCATTGTAAATCCCTCATGATAAAATCATTTTTTAAATATGAAATTAGTAAATAGTATTATATAATGCTAAAATGGTTGATGGGATGGTTTGTTGACGTCAGACTGAAAAACAAGGTAGAACGTGCTAAGAGCAAATGATGATTTATTATTTTAGCAGCAGTAGCCTTATAGAACATTAAACATTCTGTAGGGTTATTATGGTTTTAATTCGCCTATGGCAGCTTGCCATAGGCGAGGGACATGGATAAGGGACATTTGTGGCACTATTTATCATATCTATGCTTTATATGTCAGCTTTCAGTTTCACAAATAAGGACTTTTATTTTTCTCTTTCATGAACGCGCACCTAGAGACTTTTGTTTTACGTACGTCAGCTTTCATGGGTGTTTATGAGGGACTTTTCTTTTTCTGTGTCCGCTTTCATGAATGGACATGAGACTTTTATTTTGTACACGTCAGTTTCTATGGGTGTGTACAAGGGTCTTTTATTTTGAAATGCCGCTTTCTGCCAGCTAGCAAGTTTCTGTGGGGGAAAAAAAAAATCCTCGGATAGTTGTGATCTGATTAAATGCCTTCTGTAAACCTGGACTATCCTGGATGCCAGTGATATTATAATCCATAATACAAATAGTAATTATTTTAATTTACATAATAGCACGCCGGAGACACCGTTGTCAGTTTAGACAAATAAATAAAAGTTATTCTGATCTGTGTAGATTAGCTGTTAGCGGGTTAGCTTCAGTCTTGGCTGTTTTATACAGAGCAGGTAAGAATGACAACTGTTTATGTATATTTATAATGTCACATCTCACATTATCGAGACGGTCTCAGAAAGATTCATATTAAGAAAGATTATTCTGGAGACATCGGGGACTTTTAGAGCTAGCACGAATGCTAAGCAGCTGTTAGTCATCAGCCTGTTGAACTGCATTGAATCATATGACACATCTGAATAGAGGCTAAATATGCTGTTTATAAACCTTCTGATAATCTGATCCGAGGTTTCCATCTATTGGGATCCTCTACAGGTCCTGCATTCGTTGATATGTTAACGTATAACGTTATATGGGTGTGGTGTAAGTTAGTGGTTAAAGGTCTGGGTTAGCAACTAAAAGGTTGTAGGTTCAAACCCCATGAACCATTGTGTTCTTGATCATAACCAGGGGAATCTAATGGTGTCACTTTGGATATAAGCTAAATGACTGCTATATTGTCCTGTGTTTACTGACTTTTGTATAATCTGAATCTGAATAATCAATAAATAAAAACAGTTCTGAATGAATCAACCTCAGTGTTTATTATTTATTTTATTATGTTTTATTTAATTTATAATTATAGGAAATGTGGTTGTCCAAAACAATAAATAATTCAATAAAATAAAAATAAATCATAATGTGTCATTTTTGTTGATGTGTTCTTGCAGGTCCTGCCCAGAAACACCATGAAACTCTACAGTCTGAGCATCTTGTATAAAGGCTCGACGAAGTCCAACCTGTTGAAGGCGGCGTACGATCTGTCATCATTCAGTTTCTTCCAGAGATCCAGGTACAACATCTGGGATGTCTTGTACATATTGCACTGAATACTAAACCGTTTTAGGTGTTATCTTCATTGGAACTGACTGCAAACTGCATCTATAATGTGTTTTTGTTTCCCAGTGTTCAGGAGTTTATGACGTTCACCAGCGCTCTGATAGTTGAGCGTTCACCATTAGGAAGTCGTGCGTCTGTCAAAGAGCAAGGTCAGAGATTACACCATCAAGATGAAGTCTGAAATGTTTCCTCCTGGCCTGATTGTAGATGTTGAGTTTAATTATAGCTTGTGCAGGACGAAGAACTAGTTATTAGGTTTACTGTGTTATTAAAGCACCAAACTGATCAGCTGAGCTTCTGATAGCCTCAAATTCAGTTTACTAGAGTTATACAACCCTTATGAAGAAAAAAAAAAAAAAAACACTTTAGCATAGTTTTATAAAAGAGTACAAATTACAGAAATAATATTCTGAGGTGAGAACTGAATGTAATGTTTGCGGACACTTAATTTCATGTTAATTGCTAAATTAAATTTATATTAAATGGAGTTAGCTGAACTAAAATACAAATTTATATTTCATTTCACAATTACTTACATCGTTTTGAAATATGGTTAACTTGCACGCAGAATGTGAAAAGCATTTATGGTCAACTAAAATATACTTTAATGTAATTTCTATTGAAACTTGTATGTATTTTAATTTTTAATGTCATTTGTAAGGATGAAGTTGCAATTTCATACATTTAAAATATATTAATTTTAAATCGAATATCGAATAACACACAAAAATAAGCAGGTGCTTTACATATGTTTAGTATGTTAGTCGACAGGGCTTTTTAAAATAGATAGATTTTGAAGTACACATTCAGTGTAATCCATCTTATTCCACAGTGGTTTGTGGCGCTGCTCATGAAAGCAGTGTATTGATTGATTGTGTGTGTGTTTTTCCCTGTTAGAGTACTTGTGTCACGTGTATGTGCGGAATGACAATCTCGGTGGTGTTGTGATCGCAGACGGAGAATATCCTTCCAGAGTCTGTTTCACTTTACTTGACAAGGTGCGTCTTGTTGACTTTAAGCTTTTCATAACCAATACCAATAACATTAGCAATATTACTACTGCCAGTTTATCTATCTATCTATCTATCTATCTATCTATCTATCTATCTATCTATCTATCTATCTATCTATCTATCTATCTATCTATCTATCTATCTATCTATCTTTTTTGTCGTTCCATCTATCTATCTATCTATCTATCTATCTATCTATCTATCTATCTATCTATCTATCTATCTATCTATCTATCTTTTTTGTCGTTCCATCTATCTATCTATCTATCTATCTATCTATCTATCTATCTATCTATCTATCTATCTATCTATCTATCTATCTATCTATCTATCTATCTATCTGTCTGCCTCTGTCTGTATATCTATCTGTCTGTCTGTCTATCTATCTATCTATCTATCTATCTATCTATCTATCTATCTATCTATCTATCTATCTATCTATCTATCTTTTTTGTCGTTCCATCTATCTATCTATCTATCTATCTATCTATCTATCTATCTATCTATCTATCTATCTATCTATCTTTTTTGTCTATCTATCTATCTATCTATCTATCTATCTATCTATCTATCTATCTATCTATCTATCTATCTATCTATCTATCTATCTATCTGTCTGCCTCTGTCTGTATATCTATCTATCTGTCTGTCTATCTATCTATCTATCTATCTATCTATCTATCTATCTTTTTTGTCGTTCCATCTATCTATCTATCTATCTTTTTTGTCTATCTATCTATCTATCTATCTATCTATCTATCTATCTATCTATCTATCTATCTATCTATCTATCTATCTATCTATCTATCTATCTATCTGTCTGCCTCTGTCTGTATATCTATCTATCTGTCTGTCTATCTATCTATCTATCTATCTATCTATCTATCTATCTATCTATCTGTCTGCCTCTGTCTGTATATCTATCTATCTGTCTGTCTATCTATCTATCTATCTATCTATCTATCTATCTATCTATCTATCTATCTATCTATCTATCTATCTATCTATCTTTTTTGTCGTTCCATCTATCTATCTATCTATCTATCTATCTATCTATCTATCTATCTATCTATCTATCTATCTATCTATCTATCTATCTATCTATCTATCTATCTATCTATCTATCTATCTATCTATCTGTCTGCCTCTGTCTGTATATCTATCTATCTGTCTATCTATCTATCTATCTATCTATCTATCTATCTATCTATCTATCTATCTATCTATCTAATCTATCTATCTATCTATCTATCTATCTAATCTATCTATCTTTTTTGTCGTTCCATCTATCTATCTATCTATCTATCTATCTATCTATCTATCTATCTATCTATCTATCTATCTATCTATCTATCTATCTATCTATCTATCTATCTAATCTATCTATCTTTTTTGTCGTTCCATCTATCTATCTATCTATCTATCTATCTATCTATCTATCTATCTATCTATCTATCTATCTATCTATCTATCTTTTTTGTCGTTCCATCTATCTATCTATCTATCTATCTATCTATCTATCTATCTATCTATCTATCTATCTATCTTTTTTGTCGTTCCATCTATCTATCTATCTATCTATCTATCTATCTATCTATCTATCTATCTATCTATCTATCTATCTATCTATCTATCTATCTATCTATCTATCTATCTATCTGTCTGCCTCTGTCTGTATATCTATCTATCTGTCTATCTATCTATCTATCTATCTATCTATCTATCTATCTATCTATCTATCTATCTATCTATCTATCTTTTTTGTCGTTCCATCTATCTATCTATCTATCTATCTATCTATCTATCTATCTATCTATCTATCTATCTATCTATCTATCTATCTATCTATCTATCTATCTATCTACTATCTATCTTTTTTGTCTATCTATCTATCTATCTATCTATCTATCTATCTATCTATCTATCTATCTATCTATCTATCTATCTATCTATCTATCTGTCTGCCTCTGTCTGTATATCTATCTATCTGTCTGTCTATCTATCTATCTATCTATTTATCTATCTATCTATCTATCTATCTATCTATCTATCTATCTATCTATCTATCTATCTATCTATCTATCTATCTATCTTTTTTGTCGTTCCATCTATCTATCTATCTATCTATCTATCTATCTATCTATCTATCTATCTATCTATCTATCTATCTATCTATCTATCTATCTATCTATCTGTCTGCCTCTGTCTGTATATCTATCTATCTGTCTATCTATCTATCTATCTATCTATCTATCTATCTATCTATCTATCTATCTATCTATCTATCTATCTATCTATCTATCTAATCTATCTATTTTTTTTGTCGTTCCATCTATCTATCTATCTATCTATCTATCTATCTATCTATCTATCTATCTATCTAATCTATCTATCTTTTTTGTCGTTCCATCTATCTATCTATCTATCTATCTATCTATCTATCTATCTATCTATCTATCTATCTATCTATCTATCTATCTATCTATCTATCTATCTATCTATCTATCTTTTTTGTCTATCTATCTATCTATCTATCTATCTATCTATCTATCTATCTATCTATCTATCTATCTATCTATCTATCTATCTATCTATCTATCTATCTATCTAATCTATCTATCTTTTTTGTCGTTCCATCTATCTATCTATCTATCTATCTATCTATCTATCTATCTATCTATCTATCTATCTATCTATCTATCTATCTATCTATCTATCTATCTATCTATCTGTCTGCCTCTGTCTGTATATCTATCTATCTGTCTGTCTGTCTATCTATCTATCTATCTATCTATCTATCTATCTATCTATCTATCTATCTATCTATCTGTCTGCCTCTGTCTGTATATCTATCTGTCTGTCTGTCTATCTATCTATCTATCTATCTATCTATCTATCTATCTATCTATCTATCTATCTATCTATCTATCTATCTATCTATCTATCTATCTATCTATCTGTCTGTCTGTCTGTCTGTCCATCCTTCTTTCTATCTGTCTGTCTTGTCTACAGTCTTTATTATCTAATTATTATCATTATAAAGACAGTACAAAAAAAAAACTTATGATGTTTAAATTAAAAATGTAAGTGTCAACTTTAATATTAAATATAATTTAAAAGAATATTTTAAAAATAATTATGAGATTTTTACTGATTGGCATCACCATTTTCTCTCTTGACGGGTTTGTGTGGTTGTGTGTAGGTGCTGGATGAGTTCTCCAGGCAGGTGAACAGTATAGACTGGCCTTCTGGATCACAGGCGAGCGTTCAGTACACAGCGCTGGACAGTCATCTGGCCAGATACCAGGTGGAACAATCATGAAAATAATAATGAAACCGCATCAGCCAAGACAAGCCATGTAGTGCTCAAGATTTAAGGGCACTTGATTAGTGAACACAACACATTTGATTACATCTTACAGTTTTATTTCCTGTGAGTTTTATGAGTTTATTTCCTGTTCTGCAGAATCCACGTGAGGCGGACGCTATGACCAAAGTGCAAGCCGAACTGGACGAAACCAAAATTATTTTGGTGAGCAAATTATGACATTGTGAACAGTGTGTTTAACAAGTTTCAAGGGTTTTTCACCTACATTGATACTCAGTATGCAGAATGAATGATTTTTTGAATGCATTTGTATCTAATCGAATGTGTTTCTCCAGCACAACACGATGGAGTCGCTGCTGGAGAGAGGAGAAAAACTGGATGATTTAGTTCAGAAATCTGAGCATTTGGGAAACCAATCAAAAGCCTTTTATAAAACGGTCAGTACTTTACATGCCCATGAACACAGCAACAGGTCCTGAGGACCAATCTAATCTGAAGATCTAATGTGATGTTGATTATGTTCTAGGCACGCAAGCAGAACTCGTGCTGTGAGGTCATGTGATCGCGATCTGATTGGACTGGACTCTTCGGCCACCTCTCCTCTCTGATTTTCTATTTCTTTTCTCTCTCTTTCTCTCTGTCCTGGTGTGGGCTGGTGCTTTCATCATGCAGCAGTCATAGCGAATACATGAGAGAAACGATCCAACGGTACACAATGACAGGCTCAGAGGGGGCTGATTTCCCATGATGCACCACACTTACTCTGCCATCGGTTTTCATGTTGTGTGAGAACTTGGTTTTCTTCAGCGTTCCTTGGCGGTTCCTCAGGGTCTGGCACAAGCTCAAAACGGATACAGATAAAAGCATAGAGGGGCTCCAATCAAACGTCCCCGCTGTGCCTTACTTTTAGACACAAGTGTGTTGACATCAGACTGTTTATTTAGCCTTATCTATGGACAACATGTGAGTGAAAATGCTGCGATCTCTATATTTAGACCCATTATTCGGCTTTGGCAGTTTTGAAGCGCCTTGTAGAGTGGACATGTAACGTGAATTCTTTTTTTAAATGTGACAACAGTGAACAATGTATTAAATATTGATGCGTTCATAACGGATGGATTCTCAATCCGGAATATTGTGAGTGACTGACCAAATTAAATGTTTCAAAGTCTGTTTGTGTACAATTCTAATACTTTTTCTCTCTCTTGAAAATGTAAATAAATAACTGAATCATATTAGCTTTGGTTCCCTGCATCTCGAGTTTTTATTGCGATTTGGTTTTTAATACTCTGTCACTGCACATATGAAACATTCCTGCAATATTTTCATCTGATTATAAATAAACCAGCTGGTGTATTGTGATATTTGAGAGTAATAATAAAGCCTTAAAGTGTGGTTTACTGTGAAATCAGCCCCCTTGATCCTCGTGTGACGGTAAACGCAGTTGTGAGTGTAAATCTGTGCTGTGTTAGTGATTGTGTTTGATCACATGACTCTCGCTGGACCTCTCGAATGCTGTATCCAGTCTAATGATGCTTTGCTGCTAACAGCCTGAAAGCTCCTGTTTTAAAGTTAGTGTGCTTTTTCTCTTGTTGTAAAGCTTAAACGTACATGCACAAAAGTTGAGTAAAACCAGCATTATCTGGCTGAACCTGTCAGGAACGTGTCCAGTGGGCGGTTGCATCTTCTACATTTAGACTGCTCCTTACTTTTTTTTAACTCTGTTACATAAAATGGTAAGATTGGTCTAATTGGAAAAGACTGATTGGTACCCATTGGTTAACTGCTAGTTGGTCAAACAAGGTGCGTTCTAATTTGCGTATTCATGCACTATTCTATGCCGTTAGTGCATAGAAAAAGAAAAAGTGCACTTTAAATACTCAATGATGCACTTAATTAACTGCAAAAATGAAGTGTTGGACACTTCATGCACTCAACTGTCATAACAGAGGCTTTCAGACCCTGATGTTAAATGACTTCATGGTTGAGTTGAGTACATAGTGCATAAATACATAGAGTGTTACATAGTTCATTGTCATTTGGGACACAACTAACATGGTGGGCAAGTTTATGCAACTGGTCCTACAGTTGGTCTTATTTCACCCCAAAATCAGAAGACAGACAAAATATGTTTTTTGTTTCATTTTGGGCCAGTGAAAAATTTTCATTTGTACAATTAAGCACAATTTTTTTTTAGTGTAAAGTACGTGTAAACCATGATAGTTATTGTACTGCCTTTATGCTAATTTAATTTACAAGATAAAAAAAAATGTTTTACACAGGAAATTTAAATTGGAAAATAATGAGAGTTTGGGAGTGAAACATGCTTAATTGTTTTGAAAATGATGTCTTTAAATATGCTTAATTTTGTTTAGGCAAAATAAGATTTTCTAGTGATTTTTTTGTGGTGAAATATAACCCAATTCACTCATGTTTTTCAGTCGATATATATATATGCTGTACCAGCTGGCACTAGAGGAAAGTTTTGTATGAACTGGAGAATCTACACATCCTTAAACTCGTCACTATGACATGTTCAAACACTAATGTTGTGGTCAGTAGAGCTGGATTGACATTTCTTACTCCATGGAGTGTGGTGTCGATGTAAACATTTGTTCTGCGTTTGCTTGTTTTGAATGGCTGAGGTGTTTCAGCACAGGAAACATGACAGTGTTATATTGACATCTAAATGAGTGTGTGCTTATGTATCTGCCCTCAGTAATGTACCAGTTACACTTCACATGTACCACTAACTAACTAAGACCTTTTGAGGTGCCTTCTTCTGGTAATTGCCAAATCATTGTTGGCTCATTTTAGAAGAACCTGAGCATTTAGTGATGTTTAAAAGTAATTGTTCCCCTTCACATACTCATTAATTGTAGTAAAAGTTAACATGTTGACTAATAAATATTTGGCATTAATAAAACATGCCTTTCATCAATTTTTAAACCAGTAACCTTCACCATAATTAGTCTGTTGTTCTTGTGATCAAATGAGTATTTGATGAGGACATTAAATTACAAATGCAGAATCGGTTTGTCCATTTAATATGGATATAAAAGCATTTTGTCAAAGGTTTATATTAGCCAAATAAACATAAAACAAGTCATATTTCCTCTCAAAATCAAAGAATATTAAGCTTATTTTGAGGACCTCGTGATATTATTTTCATGACAATTTATCATAAGAATTAAATGTTAATTTAATTGAAAAAATGGAGAAAAAACAAAGAAAAAAAAACTTTTTTGTTAATTACTTGTGCAATTTGAAGGTGATCTAAATGAAGCTCCGAACCTTTCCAATCAAAATCAGAACATGACACACTTTATGAAGTAGAGTGTTAGTATTAATGAAACAATATTACATGTTCAAAATTCATAAGGAATATTTCAAACATGCAGGAAGACAGGATGAACACAGTTCACTGCATGTTTACAAAGTGTCCAGACGATTCCTCAACATCCCAATGTCTCTGAAGCTGTTAGGTTTTCCCAGCCTTCTTTTCGCCGCGCTTCTTCCTTGTGTAGCGAAAACTCTTCAGTGGATTTTTGCCTCTGAAAGTCTTCTGCAAATGCAACAAAAGTTGAAAATGATTTATTCAGAGCACATTGGAGGAGCTGTTTTTATGCACAATTCAAGTCCTATTAAGTATCTAACTCTTAATAAACCAATTATGCTATTATTATATCTAGGGCTGCCTCCTAATAGTCGACTAAACGTTAGTCACTGAGAAAGGGCAAAAACTCCACAGGAAGTGGCGAAGTCATTCAGTCTGTGACGGAGAGATTATTACTGATTATTATTATGGTTTAGTATTTTTCTGTAATGCAGAACAATGTCAGCAATGTTACACATAATATTCTTTCTCAGCCCTGAAACTCAAACCATTTTCCGAAGTCACCCCAGTATATATTTAATTAAATTAATATCATAAACAGTGTTGTGTGTAACACGTTACAGTAACGCAACTACTTTTTCGGGTAAAAAGTGGTGTAACGCGCTACTACTGAAAATTTGGTAAAAAACGTAGTTCCTTTTTCAATTCGGCGAAACGTTACTTTTCCCAGGGACAGATTTGACAGCGATCTTCGTCATTTGACAGATTTGACAGCGATCGCCATCTCCGTCGTGAACGCCTACAGAGAGAAATCCATATAATGGATTTCATAATCAGAGAGTAGCCTATTTCTTTTCGTTTTGAATTGTTTTGTTTAAAGAAATTTCAAGCTTTCTATATATATATATATATATATATATATATATATATATATATATATATATATCATGCCTGTGAGGCATCCACTGAGTTTATTAATTTATGATGAGATGCTCCAGTTCACACGCAACAAGTGACCGCGCCGGCGCCTCCATGTCATGATTATATTCTCTGCTACATTTGCTTCTTATTTATTAAATCCAGGCAATTGGTTGATAAAAAATTTATTAAAATTAATAGACAATTTATACAAAACGAAATTCACTTTAAAAGAAAGGCTTTCTTCAAAACAAAACTTAATGAAGTGGTCAAAATCATGTCTGACCCACTCAATGTTTTCCGATATATTGCGCATCCATCTTACTCGCGCTGTTCACTTTTCATAATCAACATACCGTATTTTCCGGACTATAAGTCGCTCCGGAGTATAAGTCGCATCAGCCCAAAAATGCGTCATGACGAGGAAAAAAACATATATAAGTCGCACTGGACTATAAGTCGCATTTATTTAGAAATTTATTTAACAAAATCCAAGACCAAGAAAAAGTTATTTAAACAGACTTTAATTAATTAAAACAGAAGGCATTTAAGTTATTCAGCTAACGTTACACACAATAGCAGAAAGAACAACAGCCTGAATATGTGTCCGGTATGTTGTTAACGTAACACATCAACAGTTAGCTACACAATAGCATAAAGAACATACCTGAGAGGCTGCGGATAAAATAAAATAACATAACAAGACAGCGAGTCCAACAGTTATCGGTAAAGCAATTTCACCAAGCTCCCGCGATCTTATTCCACATCACTGAACCCGTTGAATTCTTCATCCTACCAGGGCGTGGAGACGCAACTGCACCGTTGATAAGCCTCTCCCGGCAGCGCGTTGTTCAAGCACCCATCTGTGGACTCGTTCCTCCAGCTCTGGCCATCTTGCTTTCAGCCCGCGATTAGTTTTCTTTGTTTTCTTCATTTCAGTTAGAGTAACCTCTGCTTTTCGCCAGTCCCTCAGAAGTTTCTCATTCACTCCAAACTCTCTTTCTGCTGCTCGATTACCGTTTTCGGCTGCATATTTTATTACCTGCAGTTTGTAATCTGCAGAATATGATTTTCTTTTTGGGGGCATTTTGTTTGCGTTCAGTCTAATATTTCAGTTAATATCAGTTGTTTTCAGTTAATTTTTTCAGCGGTAAAACTAGCTGTAGTCTAGAGCGCATAGAGCGCTCTCTCGTGGCTGTAGACGGTAATGTCACCCCCAATTTCGGCAAATGATGCATTCACGTCATACTCGCAAATAATAATCTGGGGCCGTCAGCGATCCTGTGACGAGTAAATCTTGGTAATTTTGATATATAAGTCGCACCTGACTATAAGTCGCAGGACCAGCCAAGGTATGAAAAAAAGTGCGACTTATAGTCCGGAAAATACGGTAGATGGAAAAAAAAAAACATTATAATTAGGGCTGTCAATCGATTAAAATTTTTAATCTAATTAATTACATACTCTGTAATTAATTAATCTAAATTAATCGCATACACAATCTTACAATGTTTACATGGTACAATTTCTGGTAAGCTACGTTTTTATTATTATTGCTTGACACAAATTTCACGATTTCAATTTAATTTAATTCTTGTGATTTGATGCAATATTGACTCATTTGGATAAATATTAGGTACACAAGATAGGCATTCATTTTTCTCAAGAAAAAAAAAATCTCACCCAATGCTGTAAAAATACAGAGAGCCATATCAGCTGGTAGCATTTAAGGTTAAAAATAGCTCAAATTAAATATAATGTGTGTTTATTACAAATAACAACTTTGATAACGGCTAAGTAAAAAATATAATACATAGGTAATATAGTAGTAGGCAACATAAATTTAGAAAAATACTCTCTATAGCTCTTATAGCCAACTATAACGTGCTATCATATGGTCATGAAATGGCTTTCCTGAGGTAACTTAGGCTAAATGTTATGTGACATAATTGTTCTCCAGCTGTTTTATTGACCTCTTTTCGC